GGCCATCCTGAACATTGCTTGTCTTTCACATCACTGCCACCACTACTGAAAATGCACTAGCCACAGCCTTACTAAGATCACATCCACTTTTTTTCTCCATAAATGCTCAGCAAGTATTGAAGAATAGAAGCAGTATTTTTTCCTGCAAGGAGAAATTCAATTCCACATATTTACTTCCTACAGGATTCCAAGTCAGACACCATTTTGTTTTGTCAGACCATTCCTTTGCTGTCATCTACCACATGACAACAATACTAAAAGGAATATTGGTGGGAAGGCCCAGTCTCACCTGCTATACCACCAACATCTGGCTCTGATGTTGTGAGCCAATATAATAAAGTAGGAGGGATTACTTTTGGAGCAGCTCTCATACTTTGAGGAGATTGTGTACAGAAGGGGAACCAGATCTGGCAAAACAATCTTCATTCTTACAAAACTGTCTCTGCATGCTCTGATGAGGTCTGTTTCACATGATTGTCCAAATTTCTTTATAAACCATTAAAGCTAAGGTTTAGCTAATTAGTTAAAAGTCCCCCTGAGACATAAAATACATTACATCTTATTTCTTCAAGACCCCCTTGCCCTGTGGTTTTGGATCAAAAGTTGTTTGAGGTTTCTTATAATGCTATTTTGTTGCACTTGTTCAAATCTGCTTTTACACAGCATGCCATTTTGCTGTGTTTTGTAAAGGAAATACACAGCAAAAATAATTGGGAACTGCTTCATATTTATACCTTTTCACTGCATTTGAGATTATATAGTAGCACAAATGACTTGCAGAGGAAGAGTAACCTGTGGCAAGTTTGGTTAAGTATTTATTACCTGTTCATACTCTTTTATTTTTAGATAGATGTCACTCAAGAAACCCATAACATTTAACGCATTTCTGATTTTCTAACAGTTCTTCTCCACCCACCCCCTGCTCCCCTTTTCTATTTTTTCCTTCTGCTTCAGTGCATCTGATCCCCAGTATTCTGCCTTGCTCTCAGTTGAGAAAACAACTGTTCTGGTCATATTTGAATGCTTGACTAGCTCTCATGATAGTACACATTTCTACGCACAGACCAACAGGGAGTAATTGGCATCTGCCTTAAGATTTATTTTTTTGCCCAAGATTCAGCAGGCAAACCAAGGAAAAACTATATATCATCTCACATACAGTATTAACTCTTTGGCAGAGAAAACTGATATATCTGACAAAGTGACAGGATTCCCATCAGAAGAAGAGAACCTTATCTTGTACTGAAGGAACATGACATTTTCTTAATGCCCCATTAACTTCATGTGAATCCACTTACCTCATATCCCAAGACAATAAAAATAAAACCATTGGTTTTGTTGCACCAAGTATTTTAACACTATATCTACTGGGTTAGATATCCTAGCATTTTTTTGTGATAAAGGTGCAGCGACCAGAAGAGAGGCAGCAGAACTGTAGACAGCCTACATGTTTTAAGTAACTGTGAAGTCAAAAGCTTTCATAGATTAGTTATCACACAGTATTAGCCAACAATTCATCCTAAAGTTTAAATGACACACTGAGGACTGCAGGATTTCATGAATTATAGTAATACACATGTGCCTTTACCATTATGATCCAACAACTCTGTCCATTCACTTACAGTGTATTTGGTACCTTAAAAGGAAGTATTGCTCCAAATATGTCTTGTCAATGACTTATTTTGCAGTCCAACAATATTTATCTGTTTTTCACTTTATAATACTTAAATTATAATCCTATAGTAATGAGGTTTTCCTTCTTTAACTGTCTGCCCACTCCATTTTATTTATAAACAGTCAGTTGAGAGAATTATTAAGAAAAATCTTGACTTTTAACTTATCTCATTACCCATTTTCTTTCAGGGAGAAGATAGACCTATATAGATAAATTCACCTGAAACAGGAGGAACTATGAATAAAACAAATCTCCTCAAAGATAACTCATGTACTTAAATAATAAAAATGCAGAGATGTAACTTAAAGACTAGAATTTCACTTGTAGCATTTTAGTCTGGTGACAATTACAGCAGTGTGAAGTCTAAACTTTCATTTCAGGAGCTTGAACAAACGCTAAACATTTTCACATTCTCTTACAGGAATTAAAATTACGTTGAGATTGAAACAAAATATGCCACTTATATTACAATATTAGTTAATAGCTGCATTAATAAAATGCCAATATGAAGTAAAACCTTACACTTCCATTTGACATTCAAGAGTAAAAACATGTTTATATTTAAAATGGCAAGCCTGATTTTTCTCTGAAATGAAAATAGGGGAAAATTACAGCAGTTGAGTAAGATGTGTGCCTCTGTACAGTTCTGTGTATCATTGTGAAACAGACGATAAGAATATTGTTGACCAGACCTAGTGAAAAAATATGAAGCTCTCAATTCTCTTGTCAGTGCAAGGCTTGACTTTACAGAATGGATAGCTGTCCATTACAAGCCTCATGTAAACTGCTTGCACATATCAACAGTTGAACCATTAACAGATTGATTAAAAAGAATGATAAAAAAAAAAATCATTGTTGATTGGTGTAAAAGAGGTGAAAATTCCTTAATCCATGTGTATATACTGCTCTGGGGTAAAACTTAGTATAGCTCATTTTTACCCACAAGTCCTCCCAAACTACCTAGAACTAAAAAGTTGGTGGCATTTCTTTCATTAATGTGCCTGATGGACTGAATTTAAACATATTGAAGTAAAGCTCAGGTCAAATAAAACAGATCTTCCTTCACTTGATTACTTACACGTACACCATAGACAACGAACACTCATCTCTAAATTAAAATTGTATTCTTTGTAATTCTAGAGCAGGAGAAAAGGATTGGAATTCACTTATTCATAAATACACATGAAAAAAATCCACATTCTCCCTTTGTTATTATAATTTTATGGGATAACACCTATGCCTTTTGCAACAGACAACCCAACAGCTGGGCAGAAAGGACAGCAGTAATCCTCATTTTGCAAAATCTGATAGTCTCACTAAGAAACATACAAATCACCTCTTATCTGTCCACAGATGTGATTTTTTTCCTCAGTTAATGTAAATAGACTGACAAGCCTGCAGATTGACAACTTGTATTTTCTTGTTGACAAGCAAAAAAAGAAAAAAAGACCATAAATATTTCACCCAGACAGTAAGCAGCATTCACTTCCCTGTCCAGAAAAGCTACCGATTAGAGCAAATTGATATGTTGCTTCACAGAATGTATGAACCTCAGTTAAATAAATAAACAAATCACATTTACTTCAAGTAGGTCAGCCAGCAGCTAAGTATTTATTTTTAGCCATTATTAACTCTTGACAATAAAAAAAAACCCCTCCAAATCTTTGTTTCCCACTCAGACCTGACAATTCCTAGTGTTCACTATGAAACTCCTGCTTCATCATCAGTATAGCTACCACTTTTCTATAAATAAGAATGCCTGGTGATTATCACTTACTCTTCGCATTAGTCATATTTAAAGAGCGCCCTGAGGTGCTTCTCATGTACTCTCTTTGAATCATGAATCAGAAAGAAAGGAAGCAGTCTCTGAAATACCACCAAGCTGAAATTCTCCATGCTTACAACATATCTATTTATAACTTCAAACTGTAGGGCAGTTTGACAAAATGGAGCTGATGGTCAATATAGAAGTTTACCTTCTTCAGCTATTCTTGTTAAATTAAGATAAACCGATAATGGGAAAGGTCTGTCCATACCCCTACCACACACACACACACAAATACAGTAATTACTACTTAACTAACTTAAACAAAACTTTACTACTATGCAAGATACATTATAATGCATTATTATTTTCTGAAAGAAGTGATGGTACTGAGATTTTCTACTTCATTTTTTTCTTTGCTCTTTTTCTCCTGAAAGATACTGAAGCCACACTTCAATTTCACTCTATGCCTGCAAAGGCAACGGTGCCTACCAAGATACTCATTACTACATTAACATGACTACTCTTCTCCTGTCCTCTCAGCCCCAACTGGAACAGGCACTACAAGAGGTGCAGGACTTGCTGAAAAGCAGAAACTAGTTTTACAAAGAAAAAAATCTGGAAATGGCTCAGTGATGCTGCAGCGGGCACAGTAATTAAACAACCCTATTCCTGCACAGGGCTCCATGAGGCTCCATGAAACCACTGTGAACTTGACAATACTTTTGCTGCATCCAAGTAAAAAGCTATCTGACAACAAGTTGTTTAAATTTTCCTGCCCCAAATATTGTATTCTTCCAAAAGGCTCATTGGCCACAGAACAACTTCACAGGAGAGATCAAATGTGCTTATTTAAAAATTAACATAATATCCAGCAATTGATTGCTAACTAGGGTACATAACCCAGCAGGCCCTCCATAGAAGAAGACCAGGTTTGACAGAAAACAAATAACTTCAACAAACCTGGACAGAGCTTGCACCATCAAATGAGCATTCCTGCACAGCTCGTCCTCAGATCCTCATGTGCCATGAATGTTCACCTATTAGTTTATATCTCTTTAATGGAGATTTAACTTCCAGATCTGGCATGTTGATTTATTTTCCAGCCAGGGGTACTGCAAGGCTTTTACTCACCTCAACAGAACCACAAGAAGTTTCCTTCCTTATATGCAATGAAAACAAAATGCTTTCAGACCTCGTAGAGCTAGAAACAAGTAGCAAATATCTGACAAGAGGCTGGCATATTCTTTACCATTCTTGCATAAAACACGGAGCAGTTCTTCTTGTAACCACCTCAGCTTTCTAAATTCATTTATTAACTTCCCTGCTAACTGCTTAGCAGTTTTGCACAACTTACTTAAAAGCAAGGCCAATTTTTTTTTTTTTTTTTTTTTTTCCAAATTATGAAAGCACCCAGCCTAGAAGATTCTTTACCTGTTTAATTATATGTACGGTTAACAAAAGCACAGTTAGAAGAGTGGTGTGGTTAGGATGGTATTTTACAGGTTTGCAGTTAGAAAGATTATCATGATGGAAGACAATCAAAAATGAAATGCTCACCCATGTCTTAGGCTCACAGTAGAAAATACCAGGAATCTCCAGAAAGAGATCTCTCCTCTATGGCAATCAGCCCTTAAATGAGGTCTAAGAGAGGTACAGCCAGGCTCCACCCCTTCCAGTCACACAGGTGAATTGCCTTCACCTGTGCTCCCATGTCTGACTTAGTCCTTGCCTCAGGTGATCAATCAGTGGTTCAGGCCATGACTCAGCAGTTCCCATACAATTATATATAAGATATTATATATCTTTCTTTCATTCACAAATCTTTCTCCCTTCACTGGAAATGCTGAATGAGGTTCCACTTAGATCTAACTCCTATGACACTCCCCACAAAAGAAAAAAAAAATAAACAAAAAACAACAACACCATCCACATCCCTCATTCTAAGTAGAACAAGACTCCAGATTAATGTAATTAATTTTGTTGGCACATCAATTCTCATTAGTCTCAAATAACTTTACCTGGCCTCTCTGGCCCCACACAATTTTTGTGGTGTGTTTTGTACATTTTTTTGCATATCACTTTTAACATTTGTTTTTTTTTTCATTGCTTAGCAGAGTTCATCTCTGTTCTTCCCTGAATTTCTTGTCTAGAGGTAATTATTCTGGATTTTTTTTTATTTTTTTTTTTTTTCCAGATTTGCAGCCATTTCCTTTAGTCTTCTCCAGACAGGTGATGGATACACTCCTTTAACGTGGCTGCTTCCCAGGAAGTCTTCCTTCCTACGATCTTTGCCAAAGTTATAAGTCCCAGTAACAAGTTGGGATTGAAGTAACATACAGAATTATTGCTAGTATGTTAAATTGTGAATAGACAAGCTTGTTGGAAATGTCTGAACATCCATAGTCTCAGCAATAAAAGAAAAACATCAACTACAAAAAACAAAACAAAACAAAAAAAAAAAACAACAAAAAAAAAACCAAACCAACAAAATAAAACCAACAGAAACAGCAAAAGAAATCAACCACACTCAAAAAAGGATGTTTTTCTCTTAGTTTCTTATAACATCAAACACAGGTACTCTGACTGTAATTACTTCTTTCACTGATATTTTCAAACATGATGACTTGTCGACTTTATTTGCAATAGATAATTTTAAATATTAGGTAATCATTGGTATGACTTACATGTAATAAAACAGAGTTGATAAGAATGAGACTATGTTATAGGTCATCTACTTGTTTCAGAAACTAATATTAAATGTTTCTTAGATCATCAAAGTCCTAAGTGTATTAGCATGTTACCTGATCTAGTGTATGCATACATACTCCAATAATCACAAAACATGACATCTAACCCCCAGCTTTAAATAATTGTGACAGCATACATATAAATACCTTGCAAGTACTGGAAGCAGTAACACTGTATTAGTCTCTGCACCGAATTCTGACTTCAATAGGAACTGAATTGAAAGTGATGCTTTCCTCAGCACACTGGCCACTTGCCACATCCTACTAGGGAGATGAAAATTTTGCCAATTCAGTGCCAGACATAATTTCTACATTGTTATAATTTCCATTCACGTTGTAAATGTCATTAATGAGACCTTAAGGAATACCTCACTGTAAACTGTGGAAGGTTTACAGGTACTACTCTTAATATCCAGTCAATATAAGAACAGTTCATCTATACATACATATATTCATAGCTTCACTTCCTATACAAAAATGTAACTTCACAATGCTAGTTCTGCACACATTGAAGTGCAAGAGAAAAAAAAAAAAAAAAGAAATTCTCTTTCATTACACCAAACATTTCCTTCCATAGAATGTTTTATGTGCTCTAAGCTTTTCATCAACACATTCAGCTTGATCATGGTTTTATATTATTAGAGGCCACTGTAAACAAATAAAGAAACACAATTTACAGACAGACAGGATGTCACTGATATCATGTATCAATGTGTAGTATAATAGCTGCTCCATTATACTTTGCTACCATCAGAATTGATACAAACTGACAAATGCATCTGGATTTACCTTTTATACAACTAATCAGAACTGTATGTAATTGTGATTACATGATTAACCATCTATTCCTCTTTATATGAAAAAGCATGTTGTGAACAATTTGCTATTCAGACTGGCACTTTTAAAATTGCATACATTATTAAAGAATAGCTTATGTATCTTTTTATTTGTTTTCAAAGTTACAATGTTCATGAGATAATCACAGAGAACATTATATATTATCATTAAACACATCTTTGCCACAAAAAGTTAAGAGCATTGGTAGAAAATCCTATGTCAAATTATCTGAAAATATCACCTATAACCTCTATATAACACCTATAATTTCATAAAACCAATGTGCACTTTATGTAATATTATGTCAGCAAGTTCCTTCTCTTTGCAGATATCGTTACTTCTATAATCACATATATTTGCAGTCAACATGTGCATTGAATACTTTTGTGTTTGTAAGCTTGCAATGCACTGGAAAAAAAGGAGTTCGCTAGTATGGTAACTAATTGGACCCATCACTGGACCCAAGAATGGGGAACTAGAAGATCTTAATTTTAGAAAGTAATTAACCCCCTATTTTTCTACCTAATGCTGAACATAACATTAATCAGTATTTACCTCCTAATGTTTACAGAACACTGATTGTATATTTCAAAATCATAAGTGTTACCAACTATATACTGACTTTTATTTCGGCATCTATTATATAAATTAGGGTTCTGTTGAATTCTTACTGAGGAAGAAATTATATCAACTTTAAGTACATGCACAGTATCGTGCACTACAGAACAATCAAATAATATTTTTTGATGGAGAAATGAATCAATAGAAAAATAGATTTAATAAACATTAACATTTAAAAATCTAGATAAAAATGGCAAATCATGCATTTCACGCAAAGTTTTACTTTTTTTGTCTTTTTTTGATGAAATTTCTGAGAACTTAAGACATGCAGAGATGAGAAGCAGCTCACTCTGAGCAAAGAACAATGTTAAGACTGCACAGAAGTTTTGATTGAGCCTGTTGATATGCAAGACTAAAAAAAGTTGCCATTCTTGGACTTCCCTTCAACATTAGACAGTGTTGTGCAAACCTCAGACAAATCCCTGTATTATGATTTCTAAGCTGTTAGGAAGTCTCTCAGAGGGCTAAGTAAAAATCTGGAAAATTTTTTCCCCCAAATTTATTACAAGAGATGTTTTTATTCCAGGCAACAGACTACGAAAGGGAAATGGATACCAGTTTATCCTTTCCTTAATATATTAATTCATAGGACAAGTAAACTATGGATAGCATAGATATATAAATAATAATTAAAATAAAATTAGACATATATTTAATTTTCCAATGTTTAAACTATGTATGTTTCAATATTTAGAATATGCGTTTATCAGCTTATGAAATAGATGAAAATTATTTCTTTGCAATTTAATGTTTTTGTTTTTTTTTTTTTTCCCATCCCAACATTTGTCAGGACATTGCCGACATAATCAAAAGAACTCTAAATTTTCAGAGGTGAGTCTACTCCAGTGATCTTGATTAGTTATGAATTAATCTATTTCTCCTAAGTATCCTTCACTAAATCTTTGGTGGGAAATGCACTTTATTAAGCATGAGCTTTGGTTATTTGTGTGCATACACGCAATACTATTGGTCAATAATGCAGAATGATTTAAAGTTTGCTATGCTCCAGAGATGTATTGCTCATGAAAATGATTCTAGTGTTTCAACAAATGACACTGATAGCTACTTTTGCAAATACTATTATCTTCAATATTTGAATGATCTCTTTAACCAGATAATTTTTACTCAAACTTCAAGTCTTGCAAAAACCTACACAAGAACAATCATAATCATTTGAATATTGCATACAATGAATTTTAAGTTTTCAGCAGGTACAGTTACATACATAGGAGTTATCAGAATAAGATTTAAGATTTGAATACTTAGCTGAATAAAAATATTCTCAGGGTAGAAACAAATGATAAAATATAAGAAAAAGTTAATGAGACCAGTAATAAACTTTACTCTGAACCAGGTCTCATTGGTTATTGATGTGGAGATGTTTGATTCAAGAGACGCTACTGAACTTATTGCAAATGATCATTATAATAGAAAAAAGCACACACAAAAAAATAGAAATGCAAAGGAGAGAAAATCAAATTACCCATGGCATTCTCTTCCTATATTCCATGGCAGAATTATCTCATAGATTAATAAATGGTACTTCATGCAACAACAACAACAAAAAAAATGCTGTATCATCTTATGTAAACATCTGCTTTCTTCATGCAAAATGCCTACAAACCTGTGACAATAACTTTTTTTCTAATAGCATAGTTTTACATTAGCTCAGTTACAGAAACTATTAAATGAAAATCCATGAATTTGCAAGTAGAAGATATTCTAAAATTTTTGAAAGATTTCCAGCATAAATATTCCAAAGCCCAACAAAGCTAATTGATTTTCTAAAAACTAAACTACACACACTTATTCCTTGCTGTGGTGCCTTGTTCTTTTGATGATAGAAGAGAAAAGACCAGTTTTTGGAGGAGGACCCATCAACATAGGGGCTTGGTTCTTGTGGGTAATTTTTATCTGAGGGAAGAAAGAAGAAAATCATAGTTATCCCTTGAGCTAGTTAAATTCCTATGTACAAGTATCTGAAATGTCTGAATCATCTTTACATACAATTTCTAAACCTTCACTTAATCAATCAAGGCAAGAAAAAGACCTTTGTTTTTTTTTTGAATGATGCTACATATTCAGTAAGCCAATGTATGTATAATCATTGTTACCACAAATACTTTCAATTATACATGCAATCAATGTTACAAATAGTATACAAAAAATGCAGGCTGATATCTGATCTTACTTCCTGACTGTGGGACATTCTGCATGGTGCTGAATATTTTACTTACATGTAAAATATAGAATATATAGAAGATGAGAATTTAGAAGTTGGACACACATGATGAAAGACCAAACTGTTGCCTATCACTAAGATAGAGGCTGTATCATTGTATGCTCTGTTTACATTTCTAATCAAGCTGTATCTGTTTTCTAACACAGGACAATATTTAATTTCAAAATAAGCACTATGAATGAAAGCAAAAAATTAACACATAAAAAGGGTAAAAAAGGATGAACTAGGATTCTAATTTGTTCATTAATTATTAGTAGAATAGACTCAAATATTGAAAATCCTATTTAAAACACTTTTCAAGACTGCTCTAAAGCCACCCATTTTTGATTTCTTTGATATAAAACTACGAATCACCTTATATGAGACAACCTTAAAGTAGATTATGTCTGCAATTTTCTCTAATTCAAGTCTAAATTAGAGAAGACATTTTATGAATGTATGCTATGCTCAAAGCTAATTGAAAGCAATTATCAAAGTGGCATTTTGTCTGTGACTTTAAGATACATTGTAAGATAATAAATGATTCTCATTATGTAATAAAAAGGTCACATCTTGCCTTTGGGCTAGTGATGCTAAGAGTTTTTCAAAAGCAATCCGAGACATTTTCTTTAGTGAACTACGACTAATACAAGAACCATCACTTATTAAATATCAGTTGTCATCTGCATAGTACCTACATCAGAGATGGGTATTTCTTTCCAAAAGAAACACCACCTCATTAAAAAACTGGAAAAATATATCTCTTAAAGTGCGTACCTGACATTTTCAAGTTAAAATGAATATCCTTCTCTTGTCATTCACTAATAGTAATGAAACAAAAAATGTATGCCACGTGGACAGACTCATTAAAGTATAGATCAGGACATTTCTTGGGGTGGAAATTTACATTACAATATAAGGAAACCAAAAAATCCCAACAGAATAAGAGAGTTTATTTAACTCAGAGCCTTTAGGCTATTTTCCAAATATTCTTTTTTTTTTTTTTATGCTACCTTTGTACACTAGTCTTGAACTTCATATGTGACCTCTTCTCGTCAAGATTCTTCATTAGTATCAAATTTAGTAGGTTTTTTTTTTTTTTTCAACCTACATTAATTTCACACAGAAAATAACTCCTGCTTTCAAAGACTGGCATCAACATATTTTCTCACATAAAATTCTTCAGGCACCAGTTTGGAAGCCAAATCTCAGGGTAAGTTGGCATTTTTCCATTGATGTCACGTTAAACCAGCTGATGATCTAGTCCTGAAAAATTGCCTCAAGTATTTCTGTAACTTTCATATGCTTCATGAAACATATTTTGTGTTTCAGGAATAATGATGACATCAGCCTGATCCTGAGGACCAACACCTGAAATAATCTGCACATGCGGTGAGTGAATTCTTTGAGAGTTATGAGGGTTCAAGCAGATTACAGGATTTGGCCATGATGAGGCAACAGAAATGTCTTCAGAATTTCTTTCAGAAGTAAATCATAATAATTTCATCTTAAAATAAATAAAAGAGCAAAGCTCAAAAGAAGGCTTTAGTATGAAGAGGTGAGGTCATCCTGAGACCTCATACAGATTGCATGTTGGACTGGGGCTGTTCAATGCTGCTGAGAGTGAATGCAATTACATATTGAGAAAATATTTATCATTTGTCATGCTCTTTTTTGGCTTGAGCCATCTGTTTCAGACAACATGACCTCTTCAGTATGTTGTATCTTATCAGCTGAGATCAGCCAAATTGCACAAACAAGATGAACCACTCATGCATATGAGGATGGAGTCCTATATACATTTTTCTGAGACATATTTTCAACTCTTGTAAATTGGCCACAATCCAATGACATAATATACTCTACATTCTGAAAATAATAATGAAAAAAAAAATGTTAACAAAGTATATATTTTACTTATGCACAGTAGTGTAATTAACAATGCACTGGTTAACAATAATAACCATTGATAACTTCTTATCCTGAAAAAAAAAATATATATATATATATATTTAAATATATATTTTACCTTTGGGTCACAAAAGATCACTCTTTTTATAATAGACACTGTACAATTGCACAACATTGCCCAAAAGATACTTTGTCTTTCTCACGACTTTCAGGCAATGTCTTTCTGTCCTAGACTCTTGTTGCTGCTCCTATTTGCATACTGGCAATAGTAGCAGAGGGTGTTGTGAGTGTGGTTGACAAGTGAACGTACATACTTCAAGATGGGTCTCAGAAAGAGAAATAGCGTAGCAGGTAAAGTGGGGCTGAACACATAGAGTGCTCTAAACAAGACTGAAATGGAGACAAAAGCAACCACACAAAACCCCTTAACAAACAAACATTAAAAATAAATAAATAAATAAAAAGAGGAAAAAAAATCTTAAATTACAAGCAACCAAGATTTGATTTACTTAATATTCAACAAACTCACTACTTGTGACTATGTATAAATTCTGTGTTCATCTAATGTCTAGCGACTAACTTTCATCATATGGATTTATTCTCTCCTGCAAGTAACATCGTGTCTTTATTATGAGAAGCACAATTTTTAAAACTTTAAAAAGCTCTGAATAAGATGCGATAGTTTGTTGTTTTTCATTCTTCTATGGTGAACCTGTGATTTCCTTGCACAACATGCACACAAAACCAGAAATAAACACACAAAAAGTTCAAACCATAACCTAACATTTTTAGCAGCTGATGATATCCAGATAAACATACTCATGCCAAATAGTCAGGAATACTTGAAAATCATTTTAGAGATCGTTTATCCAAGTTGACTGAAAGCATGGATGATAATTCAAACATAAACTAGAGAAGTGAATGAAATGCTACTAGAGGAAAAATGCAATAGAATACTTCTATTTGACAAATTTGGAAGAAATTTAAAAGTACAAAAAAAAATAGTAAATAACATGATTTCATTTAGGAAGAAATTAAATAGACACATGAATTGCTAATATATCTTGATCTCTCCCTTTTTTTTTTTTTTTTTTTTAATTGAAAGCCTCATATACAATATTATAGACATATACACAACATATATTTACAACTCAATCTGTTGAAGTCACTGGAAAAAGTCTCATTCACTAACCAAAGCCAAGATTATAGCCTTTGAATTCATGATCATAGAAACTTAAAGGACTACTCTATCTGGTAAATACGCTTAGCATAAAAATATTGCTATTGTAATTTTGAAGTCACCTTTCTATCACTAGAAAGTGTGTCTAACAATGTATTTGTGGGAAGGGACAAAAGATTCATTAAAAAGTAAAATTCTTGAGAAAGAAGTAGGTATTGCATTCTACTTGGATTTTTTTTATAAAGGAGCAGGAAGAATATTTACAAATTCATAATTATATTTATAAATGCTTAATTTGAAATTTGTTTTGGGGTAGGTCAGAGTTCCAAAATATGCCTCGAAGCCACATTAACACAGCATATCCACTCAATAAAAAGCTGCAAATATCAACATTTTTAGTGTAAAAGCTATTATCTCTTTAAGGTCAATCAGTTTTGCATATATGCTAATATTTTGACAGTGTGTGCTAGCTCTCTCTATGCTTCTGACTTCACAGAATGCCTAAATACTTACTATTAGCACAGAAATACAATTACAAGCTGCAATGCTAATTAAAAATATAAAACTGAGAATGGAGACAATCAGCTGTGCTTTTAATAGTTCAATTAATATTGAAAAATTAACTCTGTATTTTATGGATAAAGAGATGGTAAAAACCCTCAAAGTATCTTAAAACAAATAAGTAAACAAAAACCTTAGTAAACTCTTCAAGAAAAATGCTAAAGCCTAGCTGGGGGAAAAAAAAAAAAAGATTGGATTTGCTAGTTTATAGTCATTTTTTTTCCATGTTATGAGCAAGATTTTGCTGTTGACAGGTTTGAGTGTATAAAGGATTTTCCAGTTTGGATGCTCCTTTGCCATCCCCTTTACAGGAAATTGATGGATGCAACACTTCTGTATCACAGGAGTGGCAAACACTTTTATCTTCTTGTAGATGATCAAGAGCTGTACTGGGTGACTGAATGTAGGCAGTGGTATAAAAATTAACCTGAGACTTGCATTATGTGACATTTTGGTCAAATCTCTCAGGTCTAGATCAGTTGTTTTAAATATAGCATTATGCAACACATCTTTTAAACAAATTTCTTAACAATATTATTGTGCAGAGTGCAATCAAATCTAATCAGTTTGGCATTAATTAAACTCTAATAATATACTCTAGTCTCTCTCCTAAGTAGTATGATCCGTTTCCCCTTCACACAGGTAGATTGGAAAACATTACGGTGTCATCATAATTTTTAAACATACTGAGAAAATGACAGAGCTGCAAAATTAAAATAAATGATTAATGGCATTTTTTTCATGTTTTGTACTAATAGGTATCACTGAGGTTTTAAATTAATAGAGCTGTCAAGCTTCGGGTTGTTACAGATCCAGGGCAGAACGAAAATGGAAATTATGTATTCCACAGACACCTAAAGATGACACTTCAGAATATTTCAAATTTTAATTAGTAGGTGCAATTGTTTTTTTCTCCCTCCTCCCTAAAACCACTGCAAATTAATTGGCAATTAGTCACAACTAATTCTTTTCTTAACAATCTGAACTGGAAAGAAAGGTGCATTACATGTAGAGTATTTGTCTGGGGTGCAGAAAGCACAC